AAAGCTGACGGCCAGTATGACGACAACATGTTTTGTTCATACTCATAATATTCACAGGGACGTATGATTGAAGTCTGTGATTTGTAATCGAATACATTTGATTTTCACTTTTTTTGGAGTGGTCAAAGTGCTCAGAGTCTGGTGAAGCACAGTTCTACAACAGAGATAAAAGCAATCTAAAATCATGGTAAAACTATGTTGTCGTCATTCATTTTTCTCTTACGTCTGCTTTTGGAACACTGTTGTTTGGTTTTAGGGAAGAGTTTAGATCAGTGGTTCACTTGTCTAGGCCATCTCTTCCTTCTCATGGACATGTACTTGAAGGATGTGCTTTTGAAATGTTCATCAAAACTTTACTAACATATTTCAGATTTGTAAAAATGTAGACAGCGCCCTCTAGTGGATTTGTCATCTGAAACGTGCATGGAAACGTACCCAGAGCAATGTGTTTTACATTTTGCAAAAATGTAGGCTGAGGCACACGTTTCCATTGAGTCTTGGTTGGTTAATTTGATTCCTTGTGCCTCGATCTTCCTCCATAGGGAGAGAGCAGTTGTTTACCCTCAATTCTCAGTCATGCACATCCTCACTTCCTTTTCTAGGTGGAGTAAGAAAGAAAATCCCAATGCAACTAGTTCACTGACCGACTGCAGTACAGTGTCCTCAGTTGGCCCCCTTCAAAAAAGAGAATGTAATTCTGTTTGAGGTTTGGAAATTACGCTGGACTAAGATGAATTCTCTGAGTGTCAGTGAGAGGGGCTTAATGCTGATCTCTAGCGAGAAAACGGCCCAAAGTCTTTAAACTCGGCTCAGTGAGATTGAAGGCAGGGAATCTGAGCGTGCGAGAAAAAGCCAGCCAAGGCTTAGTGAAGCCACCGGGACTCGTACGCCTGGAAGAGTTAAGACATTCATCAGCCTGTTGTTTTTAATATGCTGGAGATAACAAGATCACAGTGCTCACTGAGTCACTTAATCTGCTTTCCATAGAAAGGGACTGTGAACTCAACAAGCGTGAAGTCCTCAAGTCTTCATATTTGGGATTAAAGCCCTTCATTTGTCATTGAATTCAAAAGCAAAAGATGCGGTAGATTAAGCTGGCGTGTAGTTTGAGGGTCTATTGTTCTGAGGAATCACTAGTTTAGTTTTGGATGACTGGGATCTCTCTTGTGGAGATCAAACATGAGGATGATGTCATGAAGGGGCAATAATATACATTTTAATATACATGTATATATTTCCATAGTTATTGTTTGTAGACACATTTAGGTTCGGTAAATAATACTTTTTTCTGCAATGACACTTCAATTGATCATTAACAACATGGGACAACACTTCATTTGGTCAAACTGCATCCCTCTGTGGTCATTGAAAATCCCATGGCACTTCTCGTAAAGAGCAGGGGTGTAACCCCGGTGTCCTAAGTCCCTTAATCGGCCCTAACTATCATGGCCTCCCAATCATCCCCATCTACCGAATTGGCTCTATCACTGTCACACCAATCACACTGTCTCTCTCAATAGCTGGTCTGTTGTGAGCGCACTGGCTCCATTGTCCTGCGGCTGCCGTCGCATCTTCTAAGTGGATGCTGGACGCTGGTGGTGGTGTGAAGAGACCCCCCTCATGATTGTGAAGCGCTTTGGGTGTATGGCCATACACAATACACATACACGCTATATAAATGCACATTACATTATATTACATTACATAAGATTTTCCACAAAAAAAAAATTAATTAATTAAACTGTTTTCAGTTTGATAAATGTAATTTAAAAAGTAATTTAAGTTTACTTAATTTAATTATGCAAACTTGTTGACTTAATTCGATTAAGTAGATGCAACTTTATTACATTAGTACTACTTACTAATATAGAAAAGTCATTCTTACTTACTGTATACTGAGTCATTTTTACTTGAATCAATTAAGTCATCTTAACTTTATATCAAGTATTATTTACTAATGAAGAAAAAGTCATTCTTACTTATAAAGAGTCATTTTTACTTGGGTCAATTAACTCATCTTAACTTTATATAAAGGTTTATTTACTAATGTATGAAAGTAATTTATTTTTCAGACTGAATTTCAACATTATCAGTGTTCAATAAGTATATAAAATACCACAATTGAGTGAAAAAAATAATGACCTTAAAGCTTCTAAGGTTAGCCATAACCTGAAAACCACACAGGGAAAATGGCAACTTTATGAAATGACATGACACAGAAAACACATGCTTTTTTGATTAACCATTATAATATACATGCATAAAACTCTGGAGCTTATAATATGCCAAAACCATCTGAATTTGAATTGTGCTAATTTGAATTAACAATTGTAATTTAATAAAACTAAATATTTACATGCTATTAAAAATGTTTGGAATTTCTTAACTTCAATATTGAACATCTGAAATTTAAGACAACTGAATTATTATAGACTTGCATAAAACTCTGAATCTGAATCACAATCTGAATTTCTGGTTTAGAGTTTTAGAATATCAATTTTTAAGCTCCAAATATCTTAATCTTGAAAACACAAAGCAAGTCTAACTGCAGTCTAGGAATTCATAACATACAAAAAATCTGAATGAGTAATGATGAGTTTTAAAAATGTAGTTTGTCAACTCAGAAATAAACAAGTAAAATATTTTTTTATTGTAATAATATATTTTACAAATTTTAATGTAATCTTTAAAATTTAAAATTGATATGTGTCTGTTTTAAATATTTAATTGCACTTATTAATTTCAGCTCACACTATGTTTATCTTATTTTACAACTGTTCTGATGCTCTTAGCCAAGTATGTATTTTATTAAAGATTTTATTTTAAGTAAAAATACACATAAAACAATATAATTTTGAATATGTCTGCAATAATACGCTTTCAACACCGGTCACTGGAGTTTTTTTGGTATTAATGTAAATCTTTAAGGTACAAATATACACTTTTTTAAATACTAATTGGACTTTTTGAAAAGCTATCACTCCAGTGACAGGTTTTTTACATTTATTTCTGAGAGCGTTTTAAAAAATCAGCATATCTACAGCTGTGGAGTAAATTAATAGTGTTTAAAATCTCTGCATCTGCTAAATTTTATTGTATATATACATCTGATCACATTTATTTCACATTTCAAATAAAATTTTGGCTCCCACTTTATATTAAGTGTCCCTAACTACTATGTACTTACATCAAAAAAATTAATTCAGTGTACTTGCTGTGTTTATAATGTATTTGAGAACACTTGTGGTGCTTTTGAGATGGAATAGAGGTTGGGTTATGGACAGGTTTGGTGGCATGGGTAGGTTTAAGGGTAGGTTAAGGTGTAAGGGATGGTCAACAGTGTATTTACAAATGTAGTTACAAAAGTTAATTACAGATGTAATTACATACATGTATTTAATCAAGCATAAGTACAAAAAGTACATTGTAGCAAACTATTAATTCCTATGTAAGTACATATTAGTTAATGCCACTTAATATAAAGTGGGACCAAATTTTGTTATACATAACATTCAAAGTATACAAAATACAAATATTTACATATTTCACTTTACAATTAATCCACATGTAATGAACATTTTCTGAAAAATACTCGTGCATGTGTGTGTTCATAATAAATATAATCAGTACACTTTTTGCATTAGTTTTTGTAGATTATGTAAATGCAAACTTTTTTTAATCATTAAATGAAATGTAATGTTAATGTCCTGCCATACTGGCAATGAACTTTAAACAGGAAGCAAGCAGGTTCATCACTTTTAGGGGTCCCTTGACACATTTTCTTTGTAACCTTCACTATTATCCATGTGTTTCTGCATTTGCATGTGTGAGAATGTTCACATACAAATGTTGCTAAATTCATGTGGTTGGAAGAGCATCCGCTGAGTAAAACATATGCTGTATTAGTTGGTGGTTCATTCCTCTGTGGTGACCTGAAATGGAGAGTAAGCCAAAGGATAATTAATAAATGTGTTTTCTCAAGGAAACACGTCACCTTTTCTTGAAAAAGGCTCATTTTGAAAGTCAAGTTGACTTGAAAATTTTTTGAAACCATTCAGCTGATTTCTTGTTCTAATGGGGTCACTATTAGCTTAGCTTAGCTTAGCATAAATCCTTGAATTGAATTGGACCATTAGCATTTCTTTCAAAAGAATATATTAAAAAAAGATATACTGTATGTAAAGTTTGAGTCCTCTCTTGATACATTATGTAATAAAACTGATGAAAAAAAAAATGGTTTGAGGCAACTGCTTAACTCTGCTCTTTTAAAATTAGCATTTTCCACAAAAGGTGGAGTGTTTCTTTAATTTGCATTGTGTTTGAGCTTTCTCTGCCTCTGCCTCAGAATAGACAAAGTCTTCAAGGTTTTGGTGCTGTGATCAAAATCACCAATACCACAATCTGAATATTCATAAAAAGTACTCTAAACGTTTAAATAATCCATAATTATTCACATGATTTTTAAGTGTCCATGAAAACAAGATCACGGATGTTGATTATCATGACATGCTGCATTATTGGAAATCGCCACACGTCTGCTTGTACCCTTTTACATCTTTACCCAAAAACCGAAATTTCAGATATGCAATATAGCTTCGCCGAGCTGAATGTTTGTTAAGCTGTAATTAATATGAATATGAATGTGGTTGTTTTTGCGGAGGCTGTGTTTGAGGCTCTCATAAACTTGTTTTCCATATCTCTTGATGGCCTCTTCTCTGGAGTGCCCCACATCCATAAATATCTGCCATCCTATTGTTCCGCCATTAATCAGCGCACAACTAGATTAGTGTTTCCAAAGCAACTGCATTGATTACATGCGAACCAGCCTTCTCTTGCTTTGCTCTCGTCTTCTTCTTTACATGTGTTTTCACTTCAGAATGAGGTACAGCGGATCTGCTTTCACCAATGGAGAACTACTAGCTGTTAGGTTGATCGAAACGGTTGTTGTTGTTGATGCTGTTCTGCTTTGTCTAATGTAAGAATATGTATTTATGTTTCAGAGGCATCATGACCTAGTGATCTTTATCTGGAGAGCTGAGAAACAGAGTCTGCTTCTGCTTTCACAGGTAAAGCTCATCTTCTGGGGCTTTATTTAGGACAGAGTTGTTGTTGCAGAGGTGTTATTTTGATCAAAGCTGGGGGTGTAGCTTTATAATATTAGTGATAGATTTTGCCAACTTTAACTTTGGCATGTGTTGTTGTTGATTGATTGATTGATTGATTGATTGATTGATTGATTGATTGATTGATTGATTGATTGATTGATTGATTGATTGATTGATTGATTGATTGATATTATTTAGCATACTATCATATTTGGAAAAATATTTGTTTATGATAATTCAAAAATGTATTGTTATTTTGTTTATCTTTTTTTTATTAATTAGTTTTTTTTATCAGTTTTAAATTTTTAACAATAATCTCTTTCAGTGATTTTTCTCTTGAATATTTCCTTACCTGTTAGAATAAAAGCCATGATTAATTTTTTAAACACCATTATAAGGTCAAAAGTATTAGCCCCTCTAAGCTATACATTTTTTCGATAGTCTACAGAACAAATCATCAATATACAATAGTATGCCTAATTACCCTAACCTGCCTAGTTAACCTAATTAACCTAGTTAACCCTTTAAATGTCACAAATTTCAAATGTCTTGAAAAATATCTAGTCAAATATTATTTACTGTCATCATGACGAAGATAAAATAAATCAGTTATTATAAATGAGTTATTAAAACTATTATGTTTAGAAATGTGTTGAAAAAATCTTCTCTCCGTTAAACAGAAATTGGGGGAAAAAATAAACAGGGGGTTTAATAATTCAGGGGGACTAATAATTCTGACTTGCTTCATAATGCTTCATAATGTTCACAATGGTATTTTATTAGTTGTTAGTTTAACCATGGGTGAGTTAAAGGCTGTTATGTTATTTTGTTTTCAGTGACCATCATTATTACATGTTCAAAAACATCAACTAATATTGCATATATCCATAATTATTATAATGGACATAATTAAAGAATAATTACACTATAACGTAAAATGTAGCGAAAAAAAACAAAAAAAACTAATGTATTTTTTAAGCCCTTTATTTAATATTTCACAAATTATGTCTAACAGAGCAAGGAAATTTTCAAAGTATGTCTAATATTTTTTTTTTTTTCTCAGAAAGTCTTATTTGTTTTATTTCAGCTATAATAAAAGCAGTTTTTAATTTTTTAAAAACCATTTTAAGGTCAAATTTTTTGCCCCTTTAAGCAATTTTTTCCGATCATTTACAGAACAAACCATTATTATACAATAACTTGCCTAATTACTCTAACCTGCCTAGTTAACCTAATTAACCTAGTTAAGCCTGTAAATGTCACTTTAAGCTGTACAGAAGTGTCTTGAAAAATATCTAGTCAAATATTATTTACTGTCATCATGACAGATAAAAAAAAATCAGTTAGTAGAGATGAGTTATTAAAACTATTATGTTTAGAAATGTGTTGAAAAAATGTCTCTGTTAAAACAAAATTGGGGAAAAAATAAACAGGGGGGCTAATCATTCTGACTTCAACTGTATTTATATACATTATGCTTGTAATTTATTATATTTTAGGCAGATTCACTGCATAGAAAATGACTTTGTCATTCTAATCAATCTAAAAGACTGAAATCTTTCCAAATAGAGCTATTCAAACCATCAGGTGAAATTATATTCATATCACAATATATATCGCAGCAACATAAAGTACCTCAATGCCAGATTTATATCTGATTTAAATATATTTGCCAAATGTTAATACTCTAAAGTTATCTCTAATACCCGTTAATATACAAATGCTCCACATCACTTCAAAAATGCAATAAACGTCATAGAAGCTTTTTATTTATGACCTTATTATAGAGATTTCTCTAGATACCCATACAGTGGGTGGAGGATGTTTTGAGAACTTGTGCCAAGTTAATGTCAACCCATAAACTCTCTCTGGTGGTTGTGAAACGCAAGACTTCAGAACAAAAGCATGTACCCATGCCTGCTTTACCACCATCTAAACCAGGTTTTGGGTGCAATCTGGGACATCGCAGAGTGTGTTTGCATGCACATTCTTACCCAATTATGATTAATAAGACAACAAAGCACAAGGTCACGTAAACTTGTTTACTAGTTTTCCTGTATCAGAGTAAGGTCACAAACAACTTAAAGTATGTGTGAAAATCATACCTTACAATGTTTATTTTGCTAGCACACATTGTTATTCTTTAGGTGAACAATTAATCTGTGCAAGTAAATCCACTGAAAACCAATATATATTTTAGTAACCTTCTATCAAAATCTGACCCTTTGCTTCTGCGTTTGGAGGATTTACCTATGCAGATTAAAAGCAGTCCAGGGTCACAAATCTATTTTTGAGCATCTTGAGAGGATAATTTGAGTTTCTCGCACAACAGATCGATCGCATGAGTCCACTCTCAAACGGTTGGGGATTAAAATCCTTTAATTTGTCCACACAAAAACTCTCCACCCTTCCACAGTGATAGAAAAAAAGCTGCGTGTGAAGCTCTCCAGACAGACTCAGTCAGGCTAGAATATAAGCAGATGCTGATGTGGTTTTGCCAAACTCCACTTTGTCTTCAGCTTGGCATGAGGGATGAAGAAGCCAAGAGCGGGATTTGTCTTTGACAGGAGCATTTTCATAGCCTGAAGAGCTGTAGCTGCACATCCCATCAGTCAGCGTGTCTGCTCTTTTGCTGCCTTTGAGTTTTCACAAGTCTGGAAGGAGAAACTAATGTAGTTTGAGTGCAGATGTCATACACAATACATTTGACTTTCATTTCAGATAGTTAGAATATGTAACATTAAAAAATGATCATTCCTTTTGTTATAGAGCACTTCGGAGTCATTCATAACAAGCATGATGTCTATATATATAATGACAAATGTATTTATGTCCTCCTCACTGATGAAATTAGTAGTTGTCCTTAGTGTGTTACTAGGTTGACTTAGCAGGGAATCTTTATGTTAAAATGTATTAATCTAATCAGATGACTTTTGTGATCGTAGTCAGTAAATTAAATGAACGAGTTACACGTCGATAGATTTGCTCTTTAGTGTTTGGACTTTCTGCAGTGAATTTTAGGCATGGGACAAAAACCAGTTTCAAGGTTTAACGCAATTTGGAAAAGTCAAGGCTTTAAAACTGCCAACATTATCTGTTATATCGTTACTAAAGTATATGTAAGGGGTTTTTAATGGGGTTTTTTTTCTGTTAGATGTTGTAAGGAATTTTTTGTTTTTGAAACTAATGAAGAGAGCAGAAGTCAATGATTTATCTTAATTATTTAGCCTGACATCTTTATTGTTTCAAAATATTATAAATGTTTCTTAAAATAAAATATATTGTGTTCAATAAAGGAAAAATTAATGTTTTTTTTAATATACTTAAACACTTAATAGGAATATATTTTAGAGCTGTAATCACAATACCATCATATCAACAGAAATGTATACTGGCCCATGCCTAGTAAGTCTTAAACCGCTAAATTAAACTAAATTAAACTCAACTTCACCTTGAAAACTGGACTGAAGCTGTTTCAATTTACTACAACTTCTTTGTTAAGCTGATCTGACACAATCTACATTGTAAAAGCGCTATAGCAATGAAGATGAATAAACTAATTCTCTTATGAATGAACAAATAATTTTTTGAAAAGAAGGCTGGCTGATAATGTTTCATCGTTCAATAGCTAAATAAAGAAATAAAGAAATAAATAGCTAATAAAGAAATAAAATAGCTAAAAATTATCTTATTATGCATTAAAAAGGTGATGTTTTGGTTTTGGGGGTCTCTAACAACTGTCTGTTATGCATGCAAGGTAAAAAAAAACACTTTCATTGCATTTACTTTTACCTATTTATCCCAACGACTTCCAGATGATTCAGTCAGCAATTTATTTGTTCCCAAAGCCCTCCTTAGCATAATGCTAATATCCGCTGCTTGGTCCGATGACCCAGTCTATTTATTTGGTCAACTGTGTTCAGTGTGAGACAGAGAAAAATCTCTACCATGGCTTATCAACATTGTTGAAGTAGTCAGAGTGCAGAGTGTTTGAGTGAGCCCAATGCAGGAGTGCATTAAAGCAATGCAGTTAAACGCCAGCATATTACTCTACTCTTAACCATGATCACGAGCTCACAAACACATTTAAATCCGAAAACAAAGCGGCACGCATCGCATTTTAAACATAGCTTTAGATGCACTACAAGTCGTGTGGAGCGGTTACAGGTAACAAAACACAATTAAATACATAATTTTCAAGCTAGAGAAAACAAGAGGGGCAACCATTTTAATCGCACTTACTTACACTTGTGAAATGGAGGAAGAAACTGATCCCTGAACTGTGTACTGTAAAGTTCCTGTCAAGCTCTGACAAAGTTTCATACATCAATAGTCTTTACTGATCCTTCTTTTAACAAAAGGTCGACAACTACCTCATTTTAAGCGTGTAGATTACTGAAGCACTCGTCAAAAAAATTACAAGAACACAGCACAAGGCTGGGGCTATAATGCTGAGGTACTTTTGCAACAAAAATAAACTTTAACCACTGACTCGTTACAGCCTCATCTTTGAGTAGGGAAAGTAACACTAACTTTCCATCACACTTCAGAGCACAGCGTTTTCGCGACATAATTCAGCTGGGATCTGCTACAGTGTTTTGTCTTTCTCTTTTTCTTTCAACAGTGTTTTTTCCCGGGGGTTTCAATTTTCCCGGGTCTGCGCATGCAACAAATTGGTGGGGCTTGAGTTCCATATCGACATACACAGACATGGCTAAAGATTTGTTACCAAGAAGATTCATTTGAACCACTATTAGTCGACTGTTTTATAGATGAATCAAAAGTTTTAAACATGGTGCACTTTTAGATTAAAGCCTTAGCTTAATATTTGACTTCACTTAGAGCTGTGTTACACTCTACATGGAAGGTCATTTTCAAAAACCCATAATAGGGCTCTCTTAATAATCATAGCTAATAAAAATAGTATTATAGTAGTGAATTTTCATAAGACATACAGTATTGTTATCGCAGTACTCAACGACAATATTGTATTTTTTTTTCAGTATCATGCAGCCCTAATGTGAAGTTATAATTAATTTATAATTAATACCAACGTTTTGCAGTGTGAATATGAGCTTTATTTGATTTACCTTGATGGAATGACTAGTATGCCTCCCTATTCTCTATCTCTCTTTGCATAACATACATGGATATTCCTGATATGCTGCTCATAAATTTGCAACATGACCTGTTTTGAATTCGGTATGTCTTGTACTTTATAGAGCCCTTTACAGTCATTTCAAATGTTTGCTTTTTAAATCCCCAAGTCTGAACTGTGAAATGTGGTAGCATATATTTTCCAGTGCGGTGCATTGCAAAATTAGATGAGGCAGATATTACTGACGTCTTTGTCCTATGTGGCCTTTCTGTGTACCAAGACATACAGCATCTGTCAGAATAACACATTAAACAGCTGGACCAGTTGTGCTGCCTGGATATACTCCCGTATAACGTCTCTTGTTTTGGAGCCACAGCATGACATATAGAACTTGCACTTTTAAACATCAGTCTTAAGAATTTAAATGCTTTTATATATATATATATATATATATATATATATATATATATATATATATATATATATATATATTTATGTAAGTGTAATGATCCTTCCAGTTTATATATATATATATATATATATATAAACTGGAAGGATCATTACGCTTACATAAATGCATGGGGGTTGATAATAGTGGGGGTTGACTGATCAGATTTCAGTTAATGAAGCTCTGTGAAATACAGTAAGACCATTCCTTAAAGGGTTTGTTCACCCCAGAATGAACATTTTGTCATTGTTTACTTATTTTTTTCTTATGTCGTTCCAAACTTATATATTTTTGGAACACAAATAAAGGTATTTTAGTGAAATCTAAGTGATTTTTATGTATTTATTTAAAGGTGCCATAGAGTGCATTGATCCAATATGTTTTCTGATATCTATATAGGTATTTAGCTTAGGTATGTTGAAAAATTCTCCAGAAACAGTTTTATATGCTCAGTTAAAACCAGAAAAGAATTACCCCTAGAATTGACTATATTTGAGAAGATCATGAATATGAATGAGCTTTACTCATTTACAAAAAGGCTAAATTATAATTATACTTGACAAAAGGGACTGACAGAGATGTATTATGTTGTATATTGTGGTTTAAAATATCTAAAAACAAAGGCAGGAATTAATAATAACCTCTGCATAAACAGACGAGTTTTATAAAGTTTATCAATGTACTTTAAATCCACAAAAATCACAGTAAGAGCTGAGTGATATGACACAATGCATAAATGTGCATTAATGCTCGTGTTATACATGTGTTTGTTGCCTCATTACAAACATACTCATCAAATTTCACGCTAAACCATCAAAAGAAACATTTAAACAGACCTTTTGTGCACTGAGACACACTTTTACTTATCTTAAAGCCTTTCCCATTTTTAAAATAAGAGTCCCATACATAGTTTGTTAAGTACAAGCTTCGATAAACATAAAAATAAGCTGAAAAAATCATTGTTGTAATCTTACTGTAAAATGTTGTGGTCAATAAAATTGCATTAACAATCCTGTGTGGATCATCAGAGTCAATGTTTTGTTCCAAATGGTAGGGTTGGGCGATTTGGCCTCAAATCAAATTCTCGATTAATTGAACATTTTAACTCGATTACAGTTAATGAACGATTATTTTATGTATTTATTTATTTTTTTTATTATTTTTTTGGCCCTCATAGTTCACTTACAGGTTTTGTACATTAAACAAACAAGTGATAGATTTCTGAATGAAGGGTGCATTACCTGACTTTAAAATAATTGAAGGAAACACACACTATCGACTATCTATGATTATTTATTGAACATCAGTGTTAAACAACTCTAATTAAAACACATGGCCTAAAACCAACAGTCATATTTTTCTTCTTATAAAAAAAGTGAAAATAAATAACTAACACTTTTTGAAACAACATAAATTATTTTTTAGTGTTTCAGTTTCATATTAAAAGTAGAAAATAATCAGTATCTCTTTTAAATAAACTAACCTCTGTATATCCTGTAAATAATAGGGATGTAACGGTATCAGAATTTCACGGTACGGTAATACCTCGGTATGAATGTCACGGTACGGTATTTATTGAATCATTTACAGGAAAAAAAAAAACTTTTGAAAATACTCCCAAAAAAGTGCCAAAAGTGTCAATGACATACAAATTAGCCATCTATCTGTTAGCTTTGAAACAGGAACTTCAATTTTAATAACAAAAAATTATTAAACCATGTAAAAAAATAAAGTTTCAATTTAGTATTTAGTATTAGTATAAAACTCATCACATTTAACATTTAATCACTCACTTAGATAGAGATGGGTTTAAAGGAAAATGATCATATAACTATAATCTGGTAAAAGCTGGTATCTCTGGGTATTTACAATGTCCCCTGCAACAGAAAAAACCCCTCTCATTTGGGACTGAGGATTCTGGGACAAGAGAGATATGACTTGGCCCATGTTGACAGCAGTGGGGTAACGTTGTGCATTGTCTTTCCCCCACTTGAGAGGACAAACCATGAGTGAGATAGAGATCTCTTTGCGGTACAAGTCAATGTCTGCATCAATCTGAACAGTGCTGTGTTTCTGCAGTCCCCATGACTGTTATTAGTCGTATTCCCCAACTTGCAGGCACGTGCACACATAGGGCTCAACCTGTGCAGTGCACATGCCCTTTTTAGTCTTGGATAGAAAATGCCCTTCCAAAACGATCAATAGTGCCCCCGCGACGCGACACAACCTCCGTCCAGTCCAGCCCTTCAGTAGGCGCGCGATAACACCTCTCTTGAGTATGCGCGCTCAACCCCCCCTCGGCGCTTTACAATACGCGCGCCACAACACAGCTGATCAGAACGCGCGCGACAGCACCGCTATTCAGCACGCGCGCGGCGACAACACCCGCTTTAGGTTCGATCATTTCCATCTTTTTTTCATCTCCGCTACTAGCAGCACACTCCATTTCCGCATTACTGGATCTGTAGCGACAACAGACCGCAAAGGATTATGGCCACGCCGGGGCTGATGGGAAATGAAGTTTCAGCTACCTCCCGTTCGCTTCATTCGCCTGAGCAAATTTTCTCAGAAGACCTATAGTTTTACCGAGTCATGCGACTTCGGTAATATCGAAAAAATTTAATATTGCGGTATGACGGTATTTACAATACCGTTACATCCCTAGTAAATAATATTTTAAACAGTGCATTTCTGGCATCTTCTGTAAACAAATATTTTATGTGACTCGACATACGGCAAAAAAATCGACCTGGAAAAAAATTTGATGGATTATAGGTTCTTAATGTTGATTTTGGTTAGTTTCCGATTAATTGTCTAGCCCTACCGAATGGCCTGTTTTTCAAGTTTATACTCTCACAGGATTTACATGAGCAAGAGAAAACATTGGTGTTTAAGGCTCACGGTATGTTATTTCCATGTACTAAACTCTTATTATTCAACTATGCCTACTTATATGCTTTTGCTACAAAAAAGGATATCACTTGGAGTTTCACTTATACTACAATTGATTCTGTTGCATCTTTAAAGTATGTTCATCTAAAACTCTTATGTTTAAAGAGGATAAATCAAGTGGATTAGGACTAAAACTCTGTTAAGCAAATATAAACAGAAGTTCAGTCATACATTCAGTCATTTTGTTTATATAAAATTAAGTGGAAAAGTGATTTTGGAAAAATTGTGCATGCATTTTATTTTGTAAATGTATTTATTTTGAGACAGAGTTTTTTCATTTTGTGGTGTGCTAAGTTTACTATCATCAGTGAATGTAATGCAATACAAATGAATGCATTAACCTCATCCGCATTTCTGGCCCAGTTAAAGTTCATTAACAAAGAACCACACACAAGTAAATTAGTTTTGCCACCACACCCCAGCAACAACAACAACATAAAGCTCCATTAAGGCTTTCTAATGTTTACAAGTGCTGCAAAACACTTAAAAGCCTTTTGTTTTTCTGGCAGGCTGCAGTCTGAGCTTCCCGCTAGTCGTCTGTGCCGCTGTGGTACTTTTCAGAGAGAGAGAGACCCGTTCCTCTCCCCCCGAGGAGAGATGGAGCCCCGGGGGAGTCTGGGAGTGGAGGGTGACGCGAGTGCTCTAGGGGTGCTGGTGCCGAGCCCACGGAGCGAAGCGGTGACCCATGACCTGGAGGAACTGTCTCTTCAGCCCACTCAAAGCCTTCCACCCATTAAAGAGCGCAAGAACGGTGAGTGAGACCATTCGGTCAGACCCCTCAGGCCATAACTCTGCTCCCAAGCTCCTATTTCCTCCTCATTCGCTCAACTACCGCCCCGATTTGACAGTGAGAAAATAAGGCTTGCCAGAAGGTTGAGAAATTTGTTTGTGGTAAGACGTGGGGAATTACACAGGAATTGCATGCGAACGCCAGCATGTAATCATGTCTTAAGTGCTGCCTTTAACTCTTTTCCAAAGTGTTTTTGGCTCAGGTTCGAGTGCGCGACTGCTAATCTAATGTGATAGATTTTTGTGTCGAACGCGATTGCAGAAAGTCTCCGATATAGAGGGGTTTTTTTAGACTCGCAGTCATAATGTGGCTTTGGTTTGGCAGTAACTCAAAGGCACAGTCGATCATTCAGAAATGATCATCCTGTCAGAATTTATACACCATCATCATGTTTTAAAGCAGTAGGACTTTGATTCTTTTGTCAAAGACATTTTTGTTCGAATGTCTCAGCCACCTAAATAATGAAAATATATTAGGTTTTCAGAAAAATTACAATAAGTTGAGTTCTGGATTACTGTAAGTTAATGCTAGTGACACAAATCCTTTTCTGTTTTCTGTAGTGATGAACCAACATTTTGGCAACAAATATTAAATGAAAATACAAACATTTTTAGTTTAATGAGAAATAGTTTGAAAATGAAACAGTGAAATTGGATTAGCATCAACAGGTAAATAAGTCAGTTGTGTATTGCATGATTGTACACACTCATTATTAGGGCTGGGCCGATAAAACTTCATCGATATTTACTTGACCGAACACCATTGTCAATAACGATAAAAAAAAAAAAACTTCTGTGTGAAACGCTATAGCACATGAAAGTAGCACATTTTCCAGGCACACCTAGTTGAAAACATTTCAGAATGCCACATGCACACCGTGATTCATGTAAGTAGAACTAACCAATCTGCTTAACACTTTGTGTGGAATATACACATTTCGTTAATAATAGCAAACTTAAACAAATACAGAGCACCTAAACACTGCAGTTCTTTTTCATTCTCTTCATAAATAGAAACTAGTATCAAAGCTGCAGTAATGGTTTGTTTGTTTGTCGTCCTTTGAGAAAATGGTTGATTGTCGCCTAATGAGAGACGCAAGAGGAGCGCAAGCACAAAGCGCATTGAAAATAATAAAGAAATCCGAGTCCACGCTCTCCCGATTTTAGATTTTAGATGCAACATGTGAATGGACTCCTGTTGGGTTTCGCCTCCTCAGGTCAGAATAACAACACATGTGAAAATTACTGTCGTAGAAATAAAAAGTAAATTGTAAATAAAAAAGGATGCTTTTGGTTTCTTTTCTTATGCATTTATTATGAGATATAAGAGGGCGACGCCAAGGCACAGTAGGTAGTGCTGTCACCTCACAGCAAGAAGGTCGATGATTCAAGCCTCGGCTCGGTCAGTTGGCATTTCTGTGTGGAGTTTGCATTTTCTCCCCGCGTTCACGTGGGTTTCCTCCGGGTGCTCCGGTTTGCCCCACAAGTCCAAAGACATGCACTATAGATGAATTGGGTAGTCTAAAATTGTCCGTAGTGTATGAGAGTGTATGGGTGTTTCCCAGTGATGGGTTGCAGCTGGAAGGGCAGCCGCTGTGTAAAACATATGCTGGATAAGTCGGCGGTTCATCCCAGATCAATAAAGGGACTAAGCTAAAAAGAAAATGGATGAATAAATGAAGATATAAGAGACAATAAATTTTTATTTATTTATTTTTGACTATTAAAACTATTGCCTTAGTATTGTTGGTAAAATTAAATCAAATCATTAAATAAATAAAAAAATCCTAATATTCCTAAATGTATTGTAAAAAAAAAATACTCAATAATTATCGATACCAAATAATATTAAACATTATATCATGATTTTATTATTTTTTTTCCTGTATCGCCCAGCCCTACTTATTATCCACTGGTGCATATTCATTATCTACTGCTTATTCATCTGGTACAAGTACCTTCTTGATAGATACTGAATGTCCACATGTGAGCACCATGACTAATGTGATAGCAATGGTTTTCACCAATTCAAAATATATGGAACAGAATAGTGTATTTCTGTTTTATCAATGAATCAAGTTCCAAATAAGGGGCGGCATGGTGGCTTACTGTTTAGCACTGTCGCCATACAGCAGTAAGGTTGCTTGTTCGAGTCCCAGCTGGATCAGTTGGCATTTCTGTGTGGAGTTTGCATGTTCTCCCTGTGTTGGCGTGGGTTTATTCCAGGTGCTCCGGTTTCTCCCACAGTCCAAAGACATGCGCTATAGGTGAATTGAGTGAACAAAATTGGCCGTAATGTATGTGTGTGTGAGAATGTGAGAGTGTGTGGGTGTTTCGCTGTACTGCGCTGCTGCTGGAAGGGCATCTACTGAGTGAACATTTGCTGAAATAGTTGGAGGTTCATTCCGCTGTGGCGACCCCTGACAAATAAGGGACTGAGTTGAAGGAAAATGAATAAATGATTGAATAGTTCCAAATAAACCTGAAGCAGAACATTTGTGCATCTGAGAGCAAAACTGTGGCGTTTCATTCCTAAATGAATCTATTTAAGAACAAAATAATTTGATTCAGTGTTCAATTATCATTAACATTCAAAAATAGTCTATAAATAGTCAGAAAATAGACTAAAAAAAGCCTTGGTTAGTCATGCTCAGCTCACAAATCAAGTGATTAGTTTCTAAATTAGACTGACTCGATGTAGTTCCCAGTAGTTTACATTGCACAGAAAATCGTGATTAAGACTGGTTTCAGAATTTCCCTGTTGTGTCATATGCATTTTGTATGAAATGGCATGCAATTGAGCAAATGTTGAATAATTGTTTTTCTTTTTTTTGAGCCTTCTTATCTTATAAACTTGGCTCTGCCTGATGGTCACTGTGATGTTATCGTCTTTTCCTTCTGTCTGGCTCTCACAAATTTGGCCAAAGCTTTTTTTTTTGGAAATCTTTTACTGGTATATGAGCCCTAATAAGTAGGCACTGTAATGGCTTGTCCAGTGGGCAGTTTGGCCGTGAACCTCGCCAAATTACACACTGACATCTGTCCCACTCCCTGCGGACATCCTTGCCCTTGAGAATGTCAGCGTGTCCTCTGGGCTGTTGGGTAATTTAGTGCTCGAGGGAAGTAAACAGAGACCTCATCAGGCATGTGTGCATTTCTAAGTCCATCACATGACTGTCTTCATTATAGTCTGGAGTAATCAGCGGTTTTCTCAGACATTTTGCATTAAACTATTCCCAAAACAGTGACTCACGAAGACTCTTCAATATTTAACCTGACATTGGAAATACCCTGTTGATTTTGCTGGCCTCAGCAATGCTGGAGATATTCTTATGCAATAATTAGGCTGGCTTGTGTAGCAAGCCAGACTACTGTTATCCTATTTTTCTTCTGAGACTAAAAAACAAAACGCATCTCCTCTTAGAGCTTTCGAGCTATGACCACCAAACTCACACCAAACCTTCAAACTGGCCTGACTCGGTGTGCTATATCTTTTCCAACTGATCCGACTTTCGGTTTTCCGAAAAACGTCCCGGGACCGTCGGAAAAATCCCATTGACTTAACATTGGACCAGACTTTGTGACATCATAACTCTGCATCAGACTGTCACACAGACTTCTAACTGGGCTCATTTAATTCAGACAACCTAACTGCCAATACCTGATGAGCTTTTAACTTTCTGGCCATGCCCTAGTAACCACTTTTGGGACCCTAGAAACTGTCCCATAGACTTCCATTCAAAAGACTGTCATTGACTTTACATTGGATCAAACTTTGTGAGCTCATAACTCTGCATCAGACTGTCATACAGACTAATGGCTGAGCTCATTTAACTCAGACAACCAAACTACCAATAACCGACGAGCTTTTAACTTTCTAGCCATCTATCTATCTATCTATCTATCTATCTATCTATCTATCTATCTATCTATCTATCTATCTATCTATCTATCTATCTATCTATCTATCTATCTATCTATCTATCTATCTATCTATATATCTATCTATCTATCTATCTATCATCTACTCATACTTTTTAAAACTGTTTAAACTAAATAAACTACTACCTACAGGCTTTCACAAGCCAGCCTCAAAGTTTGTCTCAACAAACTTTAACAATCTAGTTCTTGTATGTTATTGCTACTTGTGAAGATATTTGACAAGATTTGTCCAAAATGCAGGCTGTTAAAGGTCACATAAAATTAAAATAAAGTTTTTTAGATGTTAGTATTAGTATTGTTCGTTTGTAAGATACCTATAAGCGAGTGTGCTCCTGAACAGTGACAAAATTTCCATTTAGAAGATGCAAAACTGATATAAACATGTAAAGCCAGCAGTTTGTCACTTTTGCTTAAATGGACGAACAGTTTTATTCACAAAAAGCAACTGAGAAAACTCTTGAAGGGGGTGGAGCATGTCAGATACTAAAGAGCATTTGATTGGTTATCAGTTTAAGGTGTATACTACAGTTTCTTATCAAATCATAACCAATCAAATCAAATTCTTATCAAATCTTAACCAATCAAATGCTATCACTAATCACAAATAAAAATGCACATTTCAAACACTTCATGGGACCTTTAATATTTGAAGTTTAAATTATAAGCTAAATGTCATAAACACACGCACTAACACACTTACATTTTGTCTTAGGCCATTGGTATTTTCACAAAAAAATTATAATAATAAAATGGTTTGTATGTAGTATGTCAGTTTGAAATTATATTTACATTTTCAAACATATTGTCATTAATTGTAATTATACAATGAGATTATTGTCTGCCAAGGAGTCTCCACACAGCCAGTGCTCCACACAGAGATCTGATCTGATCATCATCCAGTCAGTCTGGAATGACATAAAGAAACAGAACAAACTGAGACAAACTCAGTCCAGAAGAACGTTGGCAACATCTCTAAGATGCTTCAAAAGTCCTACCTGCAAAGCTACTGCACTGTTGCTT